TCTCTTGCTGATCTATGTATTTCACTGACATGATTTCTCACTTGCCTCTTTTCTTTCTCCCTTTAAATAGAGGCATTTTGTTCTTTTTCTCTCTTTTGGGGAGGGTGAGCTGGCTTTAGCTAATCGCTAGGAAGCAAGAAAATATGGTCATTGGTCAATGACAATATTCTCCATTTGGTAGTCATTTGCTAGTTGAATTACAGTAACGTGAATATTTTTTTCCTGAAATTGAAATTTTATTTTCTAAAGGTTTGCAAATTCTGTTAGTGTGGCAATTTCTTCTTTGGGTTGTAAGGGTTTTGGCTATTGTTTGTTTTTGTTAGGAAGAAGGCAACTTAGAAAATAAATTCTGCTTTTTTGCTTATAAATAACAACACTGGTAATCTTGAGACTGTTTTTGTTACTAGCCTACACTTAAATGTGTCCTTTAGGGGAAAATCTGACCCAAAAAAAGGATTTGGCAGGTTGTTCCGAGCAGTTTCTTGGGATTGGTGCAATTCTTCAATAAGAGCGTTGTGTCGTGGCTTCGTCTTCATTGGCCTTTAGTTGCACGAATACCAAATTGCATTCTTGCCTGAACATGAAGAAGGCTTTGACACAATACTCACGAAACTGCCATCTCTCCCTCCATGCACTACCATAGCTGTAGTCCAAATCCTCCAAATAGGCTTTTGGATTTTTCAACTCTGATGAGTAGAGTTCTATTAGAGATCAAACTGCCAACCAAGTTAGACAGCCTCTCTATGGCCTGATAGAGACTTCTTAATCTTGCTCTGCCTGCGTCTTGTGGGATTATAGCATCAAATCTCTTACTCCCCATAAATATTATGATTAAAGCCAAAAATTGACCTAGCATTATGATTAACCTCAGCCAAGTAATTATTTAGGTTCCCTAAAGTTGGTCAAAGGACTGAGATGATAACCCAGATTACTGATTATAACTAACAGCCAATTCAGTCATTCTCTCCTCAGATAGATCCTAAATTTCCTTGTCTTGAGAATTCAGTGATGCGTAATCTAAAAGAGCTTCCGCCCTCTTCAGTTGAGAATCTAAACAATTTTGCCTCAATTGAAAAATCTGAAACTCTGTCCATGTTGAAAGGAAATTATATAAGAATGAAACTAAGACAATTGAGAAACAAGGGAGAGAGGAAGACATCCGCCAAGCCCACAAAGTCCTTTAGTTTTGCTTTTTTTTTTTCAGAAGACCTTCTCTGAGTTGCTGATTCTTTCTTGGACTTACCTCAATAAGTAGGAGAGTTGCTTTGCTTCTGTGAGCGACTGGTTTTATCTCGGAGATACTTGGCCATGTGCTCATCTCCTTCAATTTGGAACCAAATGTGCTCATCTCCTTCAATCTGGCATTGGTTCCAAACTATTATACAACATTCTTGTGGATTTTACAACATGTAGGATAATCATTTTATTCTCATCTCGAACTTGTGCTTCTGCATAAGTTTTTTCTTTGTTCATTAGAACTCTTGAACAGGCACAGTATGATTGAATGATCTGTTGCAAGTTAGTCTATCTCCAGATAAGTGTTATGTGCTTCAGGGAGGTCAATTCTCATTGCCTCTCATATTGTATTATGATGTGATTTGGAGACTTTTGGTTCAAGCTCTTTGATATTTTTGGCACCACATGCGTTGACCCCCTCCCTCAGTGTTTCCACTATAGATCCCTCAGGGGGTTGGGGCGAAGAAGGTAGCTAAGATGTTTCATGGAGGAACAATATTTGCTGGTTGATGGGCATTGTGGTTGGATCATAATGCTAGGTAGATTGGTCTCCGTCCTTGTGAAATAGATTGGTCTCCGTTGCTTTCTTGTGGGAGAAGACTCGAGGAATCTTTAGCTATTTTGCATAAGGATACAGTGTCTTATTAAGTATATATATGGGTCTTTCCTCTGTTTTTCTTTTTTTTTTTTAAATGAATATATTTCTTATTCTTTGCATTTGTATCTTTCTCTTGCATTAAGTGTTAAATTAAAACTCATTTTGCATCTGTGCTTGCATATACTCAGTTGTTGATCTGTTAATTGAAACTGAAATCTGGATTCTATTTCTGTGCATCCTCAAATTTTCCCTCATTGATTAGGCTATTTGTTTGCCTGCTGCAGAGCTTCATGGGGTGGATCGCACAATTCTAATGCGAGCACTGAAGCAGCTCGAACACAAAGGCAAACTTGGAATATTCAAAGGAACTTCAACTGATGATGAAGGTGTGAAGTTCTCTGTGTAGAGTGTGTTTGCCAGGAACTTATGTAAGAAAACTAGTCTGCAAGATAACAGGATGGCATAACAGGATGGCTGCATCACCATGGTTGACAGAATTTCTTCGGCACATGGTTTATGTTAAACAGTGAATTTGTACTTTTGTTAGAGATGAGTCTCTTTATAAAATCTTACAAAGTAAGGTTGTTTAAGAAAGATCTATGGTGTTTTGAAGGTGGCTTTATACTATTTCATATTAATTTAATAACTTTTTGTATTAATTACTTTAACATTGTATATTAATTTAGATACTAAATAATATTACATTAATTACTTGATAAAATTAGATAAATGTTTTCTGATAAAAAAAAAATATTATTGATAAAGAAAGAAGAGAGGATACAATAAAAAAGGATAATCCTCCACGAGTAAAAAGAAAAAAAAGAAAAAGAGCAAACAAAACCAAAATAACTTTTATTATAAAAATATTTTTACTGTTTTGTAGCTTAAAGGTAAAATAAATGTTGAAAATAATTCTAAATTATAAAATTTATTTTGAAATTTATTTTTTAAAATTAATTCAAAATTGATAATTTTTTTTTTGAAAAGACTTAAATGTGTTATTCACTTTTATTTAATTTTAAAGGTAATTATTAATTAAGTTATATAAAAATAAATTTAAAATATCATAAATTAGTTTTGAAATTAAATTTTATTTTTAAAATGACTTTTTTATTTCACTGATTTACATGTCAATAAAATATAATTTAATTTACTAGAAAATTATGATAATTTTAAAAAAAGCCCATAAGTAACGAGAGCATGGGAGTGGGGAGACGATAGAAGACGAGAAAACCAGAGTAGGAATCGGAGAAGTCAAACGCCATACATGGAGGCACCGTCGCGGCAACCACCACCGCTGCATCCTGCAATCGCACCGCTATCTTACTTTCTGGGGACATGGCGAGGCCAAGGTGAAGGTGCCTATCCCACCATCTCATCCTTTCCCTACGGTGAGGAGCTCCATTTCTCCCATTCTGGAAAGGTACTACTCTTCATCTTAATCTCATCACTCTTTTCACACAACTCGGAACTACTTGGTTCTGTAAATGGACATATTTTTATTTATATTACTGTTGTAATGTACTGCAATGGCGGATCAGCCTGTGATAGCTTATACTCAGAAGACATGGAAGCTTAATTCCGGAGAGCCTATGCACGCCGAAAATGGGTATTGGCGTCCTAAGCCTGATGGCAGTATCGAAGTTGTCATTCCTCAAAGCACTGGCCTTGTTGAGGTTCAGGTATTTCTGCACATTCTTCTTTGTTTGAATTACAAAGATCATTCTCACAGCGGAAGTCAAAGTTGTTGACAGGGTTTCAACTTTAACCTAAAACGTTGCCGTTTGATTTCTTTGTTGTTATGTATAAATGACATAGTTCTAGGTTATGCTTGGAATGCATGAATTACTATTATGGAGCTTCATAGTGAATTTGTGGGGAATGCTTCTAAGGTAAATTTCATCTGTTGATTGATAGCTACAAGAATACTAGTTCTTCTTTATTAGTTGAACATGGCTATTTTTCCCTCTGAAAGAATTCAAGTAGTTCTCGTCAGTTTCTTACCATTGGTCTACGAATTTTTAAATGAATGTGCAACCAGATTTATGACTGTTTTAGGCAGTACATCTTGAGTAGTCCTTAGAAGATATGCTTTATTTGCGACTGTTTTAGTAACACTTCTTGGGTTATCCTTAGAAGAGATGTTTTACCAATTTTTGGCTTATTAGATTAAGCATGAATTAAGATTGATTCAGTTGAAGCAACTTGAAAGAGTAGTTCTTTAGTGTTGTATCAAACAACTGCTCTGGAAGAAATAAGCTTCAGAGATCGATATTGTATTTGAGTTCTGGAAATGTATTTTGGGTGTTGATATATGGAATACAACTTTAGAAAGTCATCTCAACTAATTTTTCCTCTTTTAGGTGATTTGATGATGAATAGGCAGATGGTCTTGTGAATAACATGAAACACGGAAAGGGCAATTGGTCTGTTGTTTCTGCTCACCAGTGCCATACAGGGGTATGCTGTCAAGATGGTCCAGTCATATAAGAAAGCCTAAACTCTTCATCATTTAGGATGGGAATAATTCTCAAAATTGCACATTTGGCCACCAATCCTTTGAAGTTAGATATCAGGAATCATCCAGTTTGAGGACCTTCAGATGCTGGTCATATTCAATAGAAGTTTCATCTTTTCATGCAGAAAGATCATCAAGGTACCATGCCTGAAGAATACATGTTAATTGGGATAAATGTGTTTTCATAAGGCTAATGAAGTATAGCAGTAAATTAAGCTTTTGGCAGGATGATGCTCTTCAAAAGTAATTTTATTGGCTGAGAGACTTATTATTACAGACCCCCAGAATTCAAAACATTTTGTCACAAGGATATAGCTGAAAGAAGCTAATAAACATCTGGTCTCATGTGCCTCCTATAAGGGAGTGGTACGTTCTAGATTAATTCACCTTGATAATCAGTGAAGGTGGCGTGCATAAAAAAAAAGGGAAAATAACAGCAAACGACTATTGATTGACTAAACGAAAGCTAAGGCTGAAATGGCTAACTGAATTGACAGAATGACAGGTTAGGTGTACTTGACACAGCTGGTAGTATTTTCTTTCTGGTTATTGCAATCCTGTTAGTTTGTTGTGGATTTCCTTTCTACTATTGCATTTGGCATTGCAGTTCTGTTAGTTTGTTATGGATTTCCTTTCTATTATTGTACTGAACCGTCAGCAGCTAGTGATAGAAATAAGGAAATACTAGTATGTATATCAGGAACCATTATCAAAAATCTAATGAGAAATTATTGAATCATTGGTGAATTTCCTCACCCTATGGAAATCTATTATTGTACTGAGCCGTCAGCAGCTAGTGGCAGAAATAAGGATGTACTAGTATGTATATCAGGAACATGTATCAAAAATCTAGTGAGAAATTATCAAATCATCAGTGAAATTATCAAAGTATGTCTTAGGCCATACTTTGGTAGGAAATTGATGGAAATACTTGGTGCAGCAAGAAAACCGTGCTAGTGAATGAAAGTGTATAGTAAATACTTAGCCTTCATGCAAAAGAAGTTTAATCAACAGTGAGATTTCAGGCAACCAGACTTGGTGAGTGGTTGAGTAAAAGTATTTCATGAAGAAATTCATTTCAAACAATACTTGGCATCGGAAGCATAAGGTTGTACTCTGAAAGTTATTACTGACATGGCGATTGTGTGTCTATAGACAATCAGGGCAGACATTTACTTCGTAGTTAAGATGATGAGGGGGCATTAGCTCATGAAATGATCGGGAAAAAATAAAAAATTTTCTTGTACACACTTGTTCGATTAGGTATTCTCCTGAGAGATATTCATCCCTCGACTCTTCTTGGATGATCTTTGGTTGTGAGCCAGGGGCATTGTTATCCACCTAAAATGTTTATTAGTTATGTTATTTTTTAATATTATGATTATTATGACAATTATATTTTTATAATCTTGGAAGTAAACATGCTTCTCAACTTGGATTCAAGCACTTATCTTACCTTAATCGCATTTCTTAGTCATGTAAACTTCCTAGTCATGATTATTCTCATAACTTGTTTTTTTCCAGATACTGAATCTTTTATGGAAATTCCTGTACATAGTGATTTTCGCGATTTATATGTCTAGCCTCTTTCCTAGTTATGGTTTACTTCCTGTATTTGGTCCTAGCTCTTACTCCTGCCTTGGCTGGGAGAATCTAAGTTCTTCATATTGGATAGCTCCTAATTCTATATCTGAATTTGAAAAACATTGTTTCAATCCTAACTTTGACTTCTTCCACTTTCACCATATAAATGATGATATGCTTGGTCAAGAAAAAAAATCTTAGAATGGAAGAGTAGAAAGAAGAAAGTGTTGGAAGGCAGAGGAGGAATGGGAAGTCACATTAGGATAACATACCACCAGCTGCTTACTGTATTGCGGATGATCCTGGATAGAAAAAGAATCTGGAATGGGTGAGAAAGAAAGTTATTGCAGGTGAAGGTTCCAAAAAAATGAGAAGAGGAATGCTAACCTAGCTAATGAGATTGATTTTGGTTCAAATTTTAATTTTATGGAGCAGGAATGAGAATATAATACCTGTGCAACAAAATATTGAAAGTTGATATTCTAATTTCAAATTAATTTATGTTCAGTATTTTTGGGATTCTTTTCTTTTAAGTGAAAAATAGAAAATCTACCATCCTTGAAGTTAAGATTACTGGGTGGAGTTGGTTCAATAATGTAAGTTATGACTAAATTTTATATATCAAATAATAAAATCTTTAGGAATAGAATATATTTGAAAGAAATGTAATGTTGGATCTACTATGCTTAGACTAGTGTCTACCAAACTTGTAGACAGTTACAGCTGAGAGTTTTGAATTCCCACCAATTGATGTTACCTATATTATGACTCAAGAAATGATCACATTTCTGTTTCTTGGATAGGTGAAGGAGATAAATCGAGTATTCAGATTGGTGGACAGAGAATTATCGTATGTAGTTCAGATAGCTAACCTTGTAGGTCTGAAACCACATCTGAAAGCAGTGCTCAAGAAGCTCTGATGGGAAATATTTCTGGCTTTCCTCATAAGAGATTAGAAACTCATTATACTTGTTTCCTTTTCCTTTTCCACCTCAAACTGTCGTTATATTTGCTTGTTAATATAGTCCTTTTATTTAATTTATTAGTATAGTTTCTCTAAATTTCTGTATTTAATTTGGTTCAATCTTAATTTTATTCTAATCTATTCTTAAATCTCGTTAGAAAGATTTCATATGATTTTATTGAAATATAAAAGTTCATTAAATAAATTCTTTCTTTCTCCTAAAAAATCCAGATGAATTTTTATTTCTCTCTCTATTAAGGGCTGCAGTAAAAGTAGAACATGAGCCATTATTTTCATTAGTATTTTAGTATTCTAAATAATTACAGGGACAAACTAACATTGGTTAATTTAATCATAAATAGCTACTTAATTTGTAATCATTATTGGTATTGTGGTTCTGAAACAAATTTAAAAGTTTTATAAAATCTATCTGTAAACTTTTATTTTTTTCAATAAGATAATAAAAATTCTATATAAAATAATAAAAATTAAATTCATAGATAATTTTACATAAAATTTTAATAATAAAATTTGATGTTTTATTTTTTTTATAGAATTTAGAATGTATTATTTTAATTTTAAATATAATTCTATAAATCTTTTATTTTTTTTAGTATTTTAACATAATTTATTATTTTTTTATAACTTATATAAGTTAATTCAAGATGCATCTAACCCTCAACCTCATCTTGTAACACCCAATAAGTTTATAAAACTATTTTAATAAATTTTAATTTACAACTCAGCAACAAATTGCACCAATATAAACTTTTTCTTCTATTTTCATTCTAATCGATCAATGACAATTGCAGCATTGTCTTCATATCATATTATCATTCTGTCATTACGTTTGAGTTCTTTACTAATCCATATAATTATCTCTCTAATTACTTGAGTCTTTTTATTGATCCCATTTGATATTGCTTCTTGATCGCATCAATAACATCAGAAATTGAAACTGGCATCGACTTCATCCTACTTCCAAATACATGCAACAATAATTTATTATAATATTAAATTACATCAAAATTTTCCAGGTAATATGATCAAAATAGGAATATTTTAATAGGAAGCAAAATCAGTTTGAGAATAAGAGACCAGGGCTTCATTTTCTACTTGTAAAAAAAAAAGTTTCCGTCTTTGTTTACCAAGAGAAATTAAAAAATGAAATGGTTAAACAGCTAGATTTACTGACTTGTCTTCTGTGCAGAGGAGTAAAAATGGGATTCAAGCTCTTTGAGACTAGCAGCTGATTCCTCTCCAATTCGAGCTAACATCCGATTCGTTTTTTCAGCCTCTCGGTTAAACTCAGATGTTCTTTGCTCAACATGGTCATTAAGAGATGCAAACCCAGAAAAGATTGCTGTCTGCTTCAGCTCTGATACCAACTTAAGTAGAGAATCAGCTGCCTGAGCCTGTTGATGATATAAATGGATCAGTCCTAACAAGTTACCAAAAATCTGAGATTACTTGTGGTCGTGGATCCACAATTAAGATCTTAAGCTGACCAACCATGCTATCATTTTTCTTTTAGCATAAAATTTTTAATTTTGTTCTACATATTCTCGATGGATTCCACAACCTTCTAATACAAAACAAGATTCACATCTACCTGGATGATCTCAAGTAACTTTAACGTAATTTAAACAAGTTCCTAAAAAATGGATTGCACATAATTTAGTAACCTTAAGCTTCCATGCTACATCAGACACCATAGTGAACTATTTCTAGAATGCCTAATAAGGTCCAGAATCTACTAGATTGTATTTGGTTCGGTTTCCATACAACTACTGGTCAATTCCTACTTCTAATTCCCATACTTGTTGTAATATGCATATATGGAAAACATAATTTATAGTGTTTGACTTCTGTTCTTCCACTTTTAATTCTTTGATGGAGGGAATCCAATTCCTGTCTTTCGAAGTGTGAGTTCAATTCCCACCACCAAAGAATTCAAGATGGCAGTGTAATAACTTAAGTGCAACAAATAATGTTTTAATTATACATATCAAAGAGTAATGTGAAAATTAAAACCAGAAATTGACCAGTAATTAAACAAAACACAGCATTAAAGATTTCTATTCTTTTTTCTTAGTTCAGTTATGTACACGCGAGAGAGAGAGAGACGGAGCACAAGAAAGCTGATTCTTACCCGTTCTGGCTGCAAGATATATATATATATATATAAAAACAAGAAAGCACTGATTCTTACCATTCTGGCCGCTCGAATCTCCATCATGAAAGCTTCTTGTGAGTTTCTGACAGGTAGATCAGTCACCTACAACAACTAGGTGCTGTCTAATGAATATGACATCAAACAAGAAAATACATACAAAAAATAGGTACTGTTTAATTTTAAAAGTTTTCTTCATTTTGAATTTCTAAGAAAATCAAAGAAATTGAAAGGAAATTCCTTATCATGTTTTCGTTTTTGTCAAACCAAAAAGAGTTTTCAGAAAATTAAAAAAAAAAATTCTTGTGAAAATCTGAAATTTCCTTTGACAAAACAGTCAAATAGCTTCTTGAGAATCGTAAGGACAAGCCAGCTGGTGGCATCCAAGAAGAAGGAAAGTTAATCCTTCTCCATACTTAAAGCATCCACCAAAATCAATTAATGGCACAAACATTATCCAGTGAAGACAATTAAGCTTCAGTAAAGTAATCTTTTAGCGACGGTTCATGGAAATTACAACAGGAACATGCCCTTTAAGTCAAATAACACAAATTATACCCAGTAAACAACCATCAGACACAAGCATAAACCTCGAAAACCCATCATGGTCTTCTAAGTACAGATCTAGACAACAATAAACCATAAAAATCAGATAAATAATCCATCGGCGAAATGATTCTTTACAAACAAGGAGTCATCACTGATATTCAAAAAGCCATCATGATCTTGTACATATAAATCTAAACAAAAAAGCCTAATTTGGGTACAAAATCAAGATTTTTTTATGGAATGCATTTGAAAAAATTTGCATCTGCGTAACTAGGAAATAGTAAAAATCTCATTAGAAATGACAAAAATTGAGCCGAAAGTTCAAGTGGAATTGGAACAATGATTTCCAAATTCGATTAATTTTTCTTTCATCATTTTTTAACCAAATTTTCACTCCCTCCTAGTTCAACTATGTACAGATTTCCAGATAAATTCTACAAAAAATCTTAATTTGTTCCAAACATAGCCTGCATCACAAACATCAAACAGCAAGCACAAGCCTTAAAAACTCATTAGTGAATTGATTATTTACACCAAACAAAATCATGACTGACACTCAAAAACCTCAAAAAGAAAAATAAGCTAAAATCGATGGGGTTATTCTAAATACAGATCTAAACAAAAATCTTAAAAACAAAATCGAAGATAAATAATAAAGATGGGAAAGATGAAAGGTGCGCTAACACATACAGAATGAGATGTGTGTGTGTGTGTGTGTTTATCAGAGCATAACAGATGAAACCTACAAATAGAAGAAAAGAACCGGAATTTTACAACCAGAAACCAGCAAATTCAGCTAATCACAACCACAACTATACTATACACAGAGCTGAAAGATCCTCTGAAACTACAATATGAAGAAGGAGAAGAAGAAAATTACCCGCGAAACGCTGACAAGGTGGGTGAAGTTGTCTACAACGTTGGCGATATCATTCTCCACTCTCTGCATCAAAGCCTTCTGCTTCTGTGCGGCGGCGGCCGCTGCTGCGGCTGTGGGACCCCCTCCACCTCCAGAACCGCCGGCAACCCCACCTCCCAAGCCTCCACCTTTGTTCATCATTCTCGCTCTGTGTTTTACCTGGAAAATGAAATCCGCATTCGTTTCCCACCCAGAAAATTTGATTTTGTTGGTTCCAGCTTTAAAATCGAGGGTTTATATAGAAGCCCCTTTTGACTCGGTCTTAAAAAATAAGTAAATAAGATGACGTCATAATAAATATTTTTTAATTTTTTAATGTAAAAATTAAACCATGTAATTTATTTCTTAATTCTTTTAAATCAAATTATTATTTTTAAAAAATTTATTGCTACTCTTTTACTAATTTTAATTTATTCAAATGTTTGCATTTAAAACTAGCGAACCACTAGATCGCAATTTATATTATTTAAAAATTGTAATATTTGAATTATGATAAGAATACATCACAAGTGAGTAAAATTATTTTTTTTATTATTATTAGTATTATTTCACTTTTACTATGTACGAAATTAAAATTTTAATTTAAAAATTTCTAATTAAACTAGTAATTTCACAAGTCATTTAAATCCAACTGAAAAACCTACACAAATCAAGCTTGAGCTGAAATCAGAAAATGGCAGCAGCTTGTGTGCTTTTCTTCTGCTTCTTCCTCTTCTTTTTCTTGCCTACTCTCCACTGGGAGAATCGAAGAAGAGTCAGCCAACCAATTAACAGAACCAAACAACACATGTAAAACCCGAACCACATCCTATCTAGAATCTGCAGATTCATTTTTCTTCCTCCGATCCCCACAAAGGTCTCTAAGTAATCGAACATCTGGATTTGATCTGCCTCAGCTCCACTCAGATTTACTCTTTTTGTTTTTGCTTGATTTATCGGATCGAACACCAAAATCTCCTGATTCAAGTTCGTTAGAATCACCTCGCCGTTTCTGCAACACCCCACCACTCTTTTGATCCTCAGGTGAGGTTCATCAATGGCGATTCTCTTGTTCCACGACTGGTTATTACCGTATTCGTGCATTATCCAGATGTCAAATCTGTTGCTCCTCTGGTAATTTTCTCCATGGCAGACGATTACAGAAAGTGAGTGGTGTAACAGAGACGGGTACCAGTATCTGGCCGTGGAGTTTCTCGAAATTTCAGGTAGTGGGAGTTTTCGAAACGCTTCGGTGGATAGGTTGAAGGAGAAGATGAATTCACAGGGCTTGTTACTGTTAATTTCTTCTGCTTTCCAGTGAAGAAAACCATTCAGTCTAGCTGCTGATTTATGGAGTTTAGATCCTACATTTGCTTCTATAAAACCTGTGTTTCTCCAAGCATTGGAGCTCAATGTGTAGACATGGATTTCAGATTGAAGCTTTGAAGATTCTGGATTGATTATGTGAGGACTAAAGATTTTCACCAGCTTGCCAAACCCAAGAGTTACAGTCCTAATTTCTTTAAACCCTAAATTATCTCCAGACACAGATTTGAATTCTCTGGTTGCAGGGTTGAGAAAATAGTTATTGAAGCCGAAATCAAGGGAAGGACTGACACAGAAAACGCTATTACAGCAATCAACAATCTGAACGTCTTTGTAAGTGATCTCCAATGGGATATCCACCGTGTGAGACTCCTGATTTTCTGAGAAGAAGGAGGTGAAGCTTCCTTCAACGGCGTGAGCTCTGATTAGAGCAGTGGAATTGAAAGTTGAAGATGATGATCTTTTGATTTGAAGTGCGGTGAAGACAGGGTCGCGGCCGAGCATTCCCCATGATTTGTTGACGCAAGAAAATCGAACCAGAGATTAGATGGGTAGTCTTGAGAGAATTTCAAGAAGGAGATCTTGAGCAAGATGGTTTGAAGGTGAAGAATTAATATAATCGTCTGAAGATGAACTTATTTTCCTGGTGGAATTCATGTTTGGCAGTGAAAAGAAAATCCCAGAAGGGTAATTCTCTTCTTGTTGTATTCTGCTTCATCGTCTCCATTTTCATCATCTTGATTTTCTCTGTATTTACTGGAAATCCAGCTAACCATGTTCTGAACATGGTCTGGAATGGAAATAGAAGTTTTAACTGCCTAATTTTATGCTACAATGTCAACAAGATATGATTGTCTAATTTTACTTTTTCTTTTTTAATTAAATGTTTGTTTTACTCAACTTATCTTACAAATTATTAACTTATGAACTTAAAAAAACGAATTATTAGAATAATTTTCTTAATTATAGATGCTGTAGCAAAGTTATTTTTTCACTTAATATTAAGGATTTTTATTTACATTTTTCTTTAAATTTTAATTAAAATTTGAATTCATAAACATTTTTACTCAACATTTACCATTCATATTAAGTTTATAGGGTAATGAAGTAATGTAAAAAGAAAAGAAAACTTACATTAATATTACTTTAGTAATTGGTACAATCTTTTTATTGTACTTTGCTATTATAACAAAACATAAATGGATAATAGATCTAATCACAGCAGCAGAAATATTAATTACAGTAGCCCTAGCAACATCAATAGCATAGACTTAAAATATACTTATCTGATTTTCAGCTTTCAAGCTTAAATTTAACTTGTTATTCATGCATCCTTCAAACCAGAAAATTGCACTAAAATAGCTGGAGCTATAAGAAGTTTTAATTTTGAATTATTTTTTATTCATTAATATCACAACATCAACTAAGCACAACCATAAATGAGATTTCAACTTTCTTTACAAAATTCCCGCAAGAAACATAGTTTTAGCACCATAGCTAGAGGCCTAAGTTGGATAAACATTTAACTATGCTGGGACCATCAATGGAATTCACTTATAATTTTCAGGGTTCTCTACCAATTTAGATCCGCATTGAGAACCCACTACATAAACCTCCACTTTAGAGTGAAAAGGAGACTAATTGTGTCGGGCATTTGAAGTAACAGCCGAAGAACCTCTGCAATGTTCATTTGTCTCGCTCCATTCCACAATCCCACATCAGAGTTTAAAATGCACAGGAGCATTGAACAGTTTTTGCCTCATAGTTAAATACACATTGCAATAGATTACAAATATTTGAGCATGCCACGACCCTCCACGCTAAGCTTTGTGGCTTGCAGCTTCTTCTTTTTTGGTGCCTTCAACTGCTGCAGCTTCTTATTCATCTGAAATAAAAAAAGTTTTTAACTTTTAACTAAGAATCAATAGATAGGAGGTCTCAGGGAAGATGTTCACATAATTACCAAGATGAACTTAGCTTCGAAGTTGTATACATTATAAAAGTGAACCTCATGCAACTAGATATCGCTTCATGAGACAAAATTGGTCCAACATGGCATTTAGTGCACTAACGATACATAAATATATTATTACTCGGACTGAATATGATAATGATGTTAATGAAGCTATTCCAATAAACCATGAACATCATTCTTTCCTTGTAATGATATTGTTAAAGCCCTTCTTTTTGCTAATCCCATATCTCAGCTGCATATTGAAACTACAAAAATCTGAGTGCCATACTGCAACTAATACCAGAAGAAAATACTGTCCAATCAAGAAGCAGCTAAACTCCTACTGCACCCAATATCATCAAAGAGGGGACAACAGATCTCATCATGCGAGTCCAGAGAGCAGCTTGCTGATGAAGAAAATGACCATTTGACAGTTCAAAGGCAACAAAGGGAACATCATATCCAAAAAAAATATTAAGAAAGAAAAGAAAAGAAAACAGAAAATCAATTCATATGACCCATTCACATTTGAAGTGGATCACTTTCGTAAGAATGTAAGAAGATAAATTGGTAACAAGCCTGTTTTTAAACCTCATTTGTCGAAAGAGCAAACCCACCTTTAGTCGGCGCTGATCTTGTACAATTTGTTTAGCACGGGCTCGAACCTCTTCTGGGTCAATCTTGGACTGGGGACGCACAACAAAATCCATTGGTGTTGCCTCTGGCCTTGTGGCATGTTGCCTAGAAGATGATTCTGACCTTGAGGCTTGCTGTCCAGAAGATTGACCAGCTTTGCGTTCCCTGAATTTTGAGTCTCAATATCATTTGACAAACTGACAACAGTCATATCAAGCAAACAAAATCAGTTTATTACATTATACCTTGAAATATCCAGATCGAAGTCACCATCTCTAGATTCCATGGCTGAAGCTTTGTTTGTTGGTCTGTGAAGTAATTTACAAAAAAAAGGCATGTGAAAATGCAAAGTTCTTAAAAGTATAACATAGTGTGCCTGAGAAACGGGTAAGAAAATTACTTTTTCACAGATGGCCTTCGGAAGGGAATCCTATCATCATCAACATTTCTCATGTCCTCAAACCTTGTACTCTTATTAAAAATCGGGCGACTCTGCATAACAATTAAAAAGGAAATAAAAGATGATGAAGAAAGTCAGTCCTGCAGATAAAAATTCTGTAAAACAGAGTTCTTAAAATTTCATTAGCATCCTCATAATCATAACACAATAACAAATTTTCAAAATCAATTTCTTTTCAATACTTTGAGAGAATAAATTATGATTTTTAAACCACAACACTATCCACATTACAATTGCCCATCTAGCACCATTCTCCACCAATGGAGCAACAAGATTTATGGGTCAGAACACAGACACTGAACTCGTGTAAGACTCAGATTCAAGATAGTATTTACCCATTTATCAACCAAATCCTTAGCAAGTCTTCTATTGGCAGTGGTTTCCTCATCAGACTTCGATAAGAACATAATGACCTGCCAAAGAGAAAAAATAGACATAAGTCTAAGTAGCATTGGTCAAAATCATAAAATATGAAGCAATCATGGACCTTTCCAAGTCCACTCTTTTTCAACTGCTCTCTCCTATCATACTGATCTAGATCAATGGGAAACTGCATGCCAAAAGCAAAATATTAGTATTGAAAAAAGTTTATCTGGAGGCAGAGGAAATTACTACACAGATGAAATGGGAGAAACAGGTAACATACATCTGTCAAAATCTTCAAAATAGCAGCACGGATATTTATATTCGGTAAACTTCCATCTGGAAGGGGCTCAAGCCAATTCTTTAACAGAGTTAGAACTCCATGATCTAAGAATTCAGGTTGAAGTTGCTTCCTACAGATAGAGGGTTTTATCAGAAATATAAGTGCTAGAATGTTAAGAGGAGACAGAAGAATAAAACTGAAAGCAAGCAGCTTACTTTGAGAGAACCTCGGTAAGAAGAGGCAACTTCTTAAGTTTATTAACGGCAGGTTTTCCCTGTCTATTAAGATCTGCATCTTCCTCTGCAGTGACCTCAAGCTCAGCCATCACGTTCTCAACTAGCAGTGCAATTTCTGCAGGGCTTTTGTCATTCTTCTTCCTCTTCTTGCCCACCTTGAAAAGTTGGTTTATTTCTTCATCCTCTTCTCCCTCCTCTGCCTGAGGAGCATGACTTGGAGAGCGTGCTTCATTGTCACTTCCGTACCTTTCAGACGGGTCTAGCCCACTGTCATCTATGAAGTTATCATCATCCACAGTCCTAACACCCTCTTCATCATTCTATAACAAAAATAGGCATAATTAGCAACTTTATAATGAAACATGCCCCCAACTGTTAAAAAACATTGAGAGGAAAAGAA